ATCAGCACTTATTGCCACCTAAAACCAGCATACTTTGACAAAGAAGTTGTCAGATAAGGAAAGGGTCAAAACAAGGATTAACACCTGGCTCACGCTCGAATGCTGGTTGTTATCCGCATGTGGGTCAAAAATATTCCCCAGATCATATCAAGTGCAGTGAAAAAAATAGTAAAAAATAATTTAGAGCAAGAATAATTTTTTTAATTAAATATAAAGTTATTTTAGACGTGTCTGTTTAAAACAATAGCATAATATTTGAATCATATTACACAATTTATATAAATTTATTTCTAAGACATCCTAATAAGTAACTAATTAAAGCAAATATCTCTTAAGGCTGTTTTAGCCTCAATTATCATGTCTATAGTTTCTTAGTAATGGATATCAAGCAGTACGCATGAGACTGATAATCTTAACAGACACATAACTGGTTTCCACCAGCTTAAAGGGCTACAGTACAAGTTTTGAAATCTTCAATAATCCTGACATACATTGGTTAGCAAACGAATATAAAAAACTGTTTCTTAAATAACATTAGTACAAACAACCCAATTTTCAGAAATATGTAAATGTATCTCATTTAAAAGGAAGTGAAGCTCTGTGTCTGTCTCACAGTAACAAGGAACTCTTATTTGATTAGGTTCCGCATAAAAGATGTCCTCTGTATCTCTGATACTTCTACTGACAGCTGGATCCTGTGAGGAGCTTTCTACATATTAAAACAGATATTTACTCCTAACACAATGACAGTTTGAATCACTGTGTTAATTGTTGATGTTATTTCCACAGATGTGTACTGCATTGATCTCATCCAACCAGACTCCAAGGTTGTGCAGCCTGGACAGTCTCTGACTATCACCTGTCAGCCCTCTGGTTACTCTGTGACCGATAACAGCTATGCAACAGGTTGGATCAGACACCAGGAAGGAAAAGCAATGGAATGGATCTTTCACATGTGGGGTGATGGGGACTTTTACCAAAATAATGATCTGAAGAACAAGTTCAGCCACAGCAGAGACACTTTTGCTGGAACAGTCACAATAACAGGACAGAATCTGCAGCCTGAAGACACAGCTCTTTATTACTGTGTGAGGCGGCACAGTGATACAAACCACAGAAGAGGCTATACAAAAACCAGTCAGACAGAAGGATTAAATTAGATTCATTTGTAAACAAAACTTTGGTAAGGAGGCCCCAATTTATACAGGTGTTACTCTGATTTATGTCACTAACTAGGAACTAATAAAAGTTTTATATTTGTGTTATTATCATTAGTTGGGTCTTTTTTTCATCATAATCAACTTATCCCCTTCTTTAAATCAAAGAAAAATTAACTATTTATTATATACATAAATTATATTAAAAAAGCTTTTCTCGATGTGCTGTGTGGAAACAGACGCCATAAAGAGGGGCGTGGAAAATGAAATAATAATTGGCTGTACGGACCTAGTGGATAAATTAACCATTAATCAAGCTTAATGTTGACAATAAAAGGAAGAAATCAGAGGTTAAATATTTCAGTAACAAAGATTTCATAACAGAAATTAGCCGAGTAAACTAGCCCCATCTGCCAGCGGCCAAAATAATTGTTTTCTGAAGGTTACAGACAGAAATTGCCGTCAGTAGGTCGATTGTTCTGTTTATAGTCTGGTTTATCAGGCTAAACAGAATTACCTTTTTTATCATCACAAACTCCTGCATCCTATGCCAACATCACCCTCAGTGATGTTCAAATATTATATTTATATATCCTTTTGGAAAATTCCTGTTTCCTATTCTTTCCCTTTAAATAGATTGATTCATTAGTGCTGATTTTCCATTCACTTGCTTATAAAGTTTTTACTCAGTCTTTTATTTCTGCAAAGCCACACAGTGTTTGAGTGAGAGGAGTTGTTCGGAACGGGAAATAACAATTCCCATAACGAGCCATGTTGTACCTCAAGGATTATTTATGACATTTTACTGATTTTCCAAAGTGTGTGTAATTAGTTTTGATTAACTGTGCTCTGACAAAGCTGTTCCCAGACTTTAAGTTAGTGAGACAAACTTTGTCTAGTCAG